TTAAAAACATCGACAAGAAAAAATACTCTTGATTCAATCAGATTTAAGCTTAAATCAAGAACCAAGCCTCTTAATTTGAGCGGATTTCCTTTTGATCTAAGCTTAAATCTGATTGAATCAAGAGTCCTTTTACTTGTCAATGTTTTCAAGAGCCTGGACTCTAGATCAAATGTGGTTTTTTTTTCAGTGTTTCAAGAAAATTTGGTGATTTGATCTATTTTTCTTCTCCAAATGCTGAAACTTTAAATTTTTCCATCGATATCATGCAAAAGTTGGTAGATCTTCAAAACTTGACTATCTGCCCATCGGGCTGATTATTGAAATTGATAGACGAATCTACGGACAGAGATGAGAAAAAAGAAATGGAGGAAGCTTGATGGAAGCGGGTAGTTGCAATGAACATAGAAAGTAAGTGATGGACTAATTAACGGCAACTCAAGAGGGACCCTGTAGTTAGTCCATCATTTTCCCCCATAATCTATAACAAGCATCCAATTCAACCAATTGAATCGCTTAATTTTTTTTGGTCTTCTTCGTCCATAAATTTCAATAATAAGCCTGCTGACAAATGAAAAAATACCTGATTTGACTGTATAACCTGCAGCACATACATTGGATACGAGTATACAGTGAGATTTGCAATAAATGAATTAAATATCAGACTTAGAATGTTAGGGAGTTATAATTCATTTTAAACGGCTTTTCCTCGACACGGTGCATGCATTTTTAAACGACTCGTGTTGATTAAATAAGCGGACCCTTGAACCACGCTCCGTGTATAACTGAAAGTTTCGATTTTAAGTTTGAAATTCCCGGCAGCACGACTTTCCCGAGACTTGCATTCTTTTGCTTTTAATATTTCATCGCTTAACTAGAGCTCCACTGCAAACACGGGTGTGCTGGGTTGATTCCGAGAAATAATAATTTTAGCCCGAACGATAAATAAAGCGAGCTCGCCTAGTTAAGCGAGGTAAATACCAGAAAAATGAAATACTAAATTCGTGCTGGCCGCTTTCCCGCAGAGTTAATGTTTAAGCATTTTATTGCGATACTTGGTTCGTTGAGAATAAACATCGCTCGAGTTTTGAGGGAAAACATTTCTAAATTTTAAGGAGTTTTGAATAATCAGATTGAAATGCAACTATACTCCTTACTTTGCCACGGAATTAAAATGCTCTGTTTTTATTTTATATTTCGGTATCTTAAAGATTATTTCCATCGATGCATGATTTTCCACACATCTAGACAAAAATTACTTCTATCGAAACATGCCAAGCTGAACAGCGTTATAAATTCAAAATATTAGGATGAGCCACTTTGATGTTACTTATGCCTTTGTAGTTAAGATTGTCTCCTAAATTATGTGGCTAAAATTATTGTTTTGTCAATTCGCCTTAATGATAGTTCTGTGTAATCGAAAGGCCTCGGCATGTATTATAACCCAATGTGAATAGTAAATTCATATATTACGTTATCACAGCGTATTGGATCTTATCTTAATATTTTCAACATTATTTCGTTGAGGTGTTTCTCCTTCATCTGAGGTTCATTTTCCTTTCGAATATCAAAAAAATGGGAAATTTTCTTAAGTTTACGGTGAACATTATTTCATTTTATTTCTTAAAAAACCACACTATATTGATAGATATTTGGAAATATGTAGTCTCAACAACGCATTTTCAGGCAGATATGAGTTAAATTTCCAGAAAAATGGTCTCGTAGAGGTGAAACATCGATGTGAGGAAATAACCACACAAATAAAATCATTAGGGCACCACGCCCGCATGGCAGATATTATACAGGATACCAGAGAAATAGTATGAACTTGCTTCTTACCAACTATTCCGCTTTCGATGTGTCGATTTTGATACATCCCATCGCATTTTGCACCATAAAATTCCTACACTTAATCTGTCTATTCACTATATTTTCGAGTTCGAATAAGTTAAAAAGATTACAATTTCAATGGTCGAAAGTCAAAGACGGTACAAATTTTGTAAGAATGAAATACACAGGAAGCGAAACCGTCATTCAAAACAAATCAAAATAAAACACGGAAAATTCAAATCAATCGAATACAATTTTTAATCGGTCTCAGTAACTAAACACAAACACTGAAATGTACTGGGAAAAATCAGGAGCTCTTACTTTAATTCGGCGAATAATTTTTTCAATTTTTTTTTTTAGATATCCTGGCGTCGGACGTGAAGAATTCAAATTTGATCACACGCTTAACTTCACACTTTTAAAAAATAAAAAAAAAACCAAGCGCATTTAAATGGAGAATACGTCGGGTGCGCGGAAACAGTCAATTTTCACTAGATTTCAAGATTTTATTCCTCGAGGATTTGGAAATGGAATTCCCACAAGCGAAATTAAAAAATTTCAATCACACCGTTTAAAACGCATGTTTTTTTCTTCGATTAATCCACGAGGCGAGTCAGGCTCACCGCCCGCCGCTCACGTTCACCAATTATCACTCGCTTTTTTCTAGATTCCCGGCTCAAACCTGAACTCGTTCGCAATCAAATCGCATCGGACACAAAATCCAAAAAACGGGCTTTCAATTGCACTTTCCCCCCCGATCCGGAACTCAATCCCGGAACAACTCGTCACTCCGCACAATTCCGTTCTCGTCGGCGCAGGTGAGCCAACGCTTGTCAAAAAGCGGAGTATTAATCCCGTATGACACGAGAGTCGCGCCAATTCATAACTCCGCAAATCCCCGCCTCGGCAGCGAGCGCATCGATAATTCACCGGGAAAAACCGCGCCGCAAACAAATTAAACACCGCCCGGATTAAAATCGAAATCCCTCCGGATGACGTCACGCGGTGGGCGCCCCGAAAAACAAACCCCGGGGAAAAAAGGGCGCCGAAGGGAAACCTCGAGAAAGGCGCGCTTCGCGGAGGAAGATCCGCACTGACTGACACGCCGGGGTCACGCCGAAGATCACGCGATACTGAAACACGGTTGAGAAAGTCCTGACGGTAGCGGTTGTGTCGCCCCCTCCGCCC